TCATTATCTGACACAAAAATTTAATATTAATTATGTTGACATGTTGGCTAAAACATATTTCTTATGATAGGTCAGCGTATTTTTTTGTTTCTTCCTCTTATTTTTATTCTTCCTTGTGCCCATATTCTTCATTTGTTTGTGGAGTTTTTAATTTCAACTTTAGTTTGTTTTTCTTGTGATTGCTTTCATTGTCGGTGGCGACCACTTCTGAATTGTCATTTGGTAATTGTGTTGCTGTTGCATGAATCTCATTAATTATCAGTATTGCCATTTGCCACTTGCCACTTACCACTTGCAATAATATTCGAAAGTGAAAGCATTCAATTTTTCATTTACCAGCTACGTACATACTTCTTTGTACATATATTCGTATGTATGTAAGTATTATTAATACAAATGTACCGACGCCTTCATGCCAATAAATGCCAAAAAGCTCATTATTCTTCTGATTCGCTACAGACTGAAGCTGTTTTATGCAAAGCATGTCCTTTAAATTTTGCAAATTTTATGGAGTTCAGATGATAAGCATATCAGGGCAGGAATAATGTTAAACAAACTAGTGAACTCATTACTTGAGATATTGCTCTTTTAAAATAGCTGCTAAACGGGAGATGACTATTTTTTTTAACCGACTTCTCAAAAAGGGGAAGGTTATCAATTCGTCGGAATATTTTTTTTTTGTTTTTTTTTTTTATGTATGTTACCGCATAACTTTGGACCACGTTAACCGATTTCTATAATTTTTTAAAGGAAAGGTTTTACTTCACAGGCCGTCTTGTACTAATTTGGTTTAAATCCTACCATTGGATAATAAGAAAGCAACGATAATCGAGAATTGAAGTCGGTTTTTTGTTTGTTTTAGTTTTGTATTGTGTCATTATTGCAGAGAACCATCGATATCTATGTGGTTTATTGGCTTATGGCGGTAGGCGTTATTTCCCTTTCCTAAAAACAATCTAAAGACATACTTTTTTTGACTATCGAACAATTTGAAGGAAAATCGGACAGGAAACGCTCGAATTTAAAATCCAAAATAATTGCCGGGCCGTAAGAGCACATTTCGGGGCTTATTATTAAAACAAATCGCTCAATATAATAGGTTTTGGAATTCGAACTAATAACAATTTACCTTTAATATGCAATAATTCGCTTATCAGTAATTGGCTAAAAATATCGCTCGTATATGTATACACATACTGCAGAAGGGAATTCCACGCAGAACTACTGGATGACGCAACGGTGGACATGCATCATTTTTTATAGGTCGAAAAAATTTTTATGAAATAATTGAGTGATTCGTTTAAAAGATCATTCCGTTTTTATGCAAATATATTCTTGCAGATCTTAAAAATTATAATTGGTATGTTGCAGTAAAATAAAGCCAGAAAAAAAAGCCGCGGGCGCTATTGCCCTTTCGCAAAGAAAATAAAAACCGCGGGCTTTATGCCTTTTGTCGGTTGGCGTTATTTCCCTTTCGAAAGAGCAATAACTCCCGTGGGCTTTATTTCTTCTGTTTTAGGAAATAAAGCCCGTGGGAGTTACTTCACTACACCGCAATAGGTTAATTTATTTCTGCTATTTGGCGCTATTTAGCTATATGCTTACAACACTGCCATTTCCGCGTTTGAAATTTAAAATTGATAATCACCATACAGATTGCGAAGGCTGGAGAGATGAATATTCGCTTATTACACTGAAAATACACAAGATTTTAGCATGTAATTTTTATTCTGCAGCATTATCTGAAAAATGTAGTTTATCAATGAAGGATATTTATTACAAAATATACAAGCCTATTTTCGTATCGGCAAAACAACAAAGTGATTCCTCCTTCTCGCCTTAGTGTGGAGACAATATGTATCTACATATGTATATGAACAGACGGAAATCCAGCTTGTTATTTGTACTCTTTTTAATAAGCCATGCAACCGGATATGGAAAAGAGCAACGCGTTCACTCAGCTCAGCACCTTAGCCGGTAGTTTATTTTTATCTTTCCAATAAATTTAACACAGAAAATGCCAGAAATTCTATAGTTCAAAATCACTTTTGTATTACTCGTAGATCACATAAAAGTCCATTTAAACGCATAAAGAAGCGTTAAATGACACTCAGCACGCCGGCGTGCCATTACTCTGCAACGACGCGAGTGTCCATCCACTCCAGCCGTTTGGCCTGCAACCATAGCGAAATTGTTTATTTCCAAATATAAAATATGTGTTACGAAAGGTAGGCGAAATTTAAAGGACAATGCATTATACAGGTAATATAATATTTAGTTATGGCAATGCTTAGCGGGGACATTTTTGGGACGTGCCGCGGCGCAGCGCATGGCATGTGTCCTTTTGGGCGACGAAGGTCAGTGGCGTATAAAGGAAAAGCGAAATCTATAGAAGGAAATGCCCAGCACTGTTTGTGAAAACTGCGAATAACTTCAATGGTTGAAAGACTTTTTATTGCCAGTGTTTGACTTTTAGACCACTTGTGGTGTAGGCGTTTTATTTTCCATTTTAGCTATTCTTCTTTCTTTCATGTACCAGACACTTGGCCAGACAGCCTGACGCTGAGCGGATAATGGCAAGTAGCTTACGATTTTAGAATCTTCCTAGATTAAACAGAGACTATTAAATCACATTTGTGTAACTTGGTTCAAGGTTTGTTGGTTAGTATTGCCCCATAACGATCGGTGATTTTCCAAATGTAATTAATTAGATATTTGCTTAACTACTAAAGCCAAATATTGCAAATTTTAAAATAAAAAACAGAAATTTATGTTCATAAGTACACACATTGAAAGAAATGCGCTGCAAAATGACTTGATTTTCTATGTGGTTTTTTTTCATCACCCCTTAAAGAAACTAAAATGTTAGATAGGGTCTTTCTATATTAAGGTAACGTATGTATCCTTATCTTTATAACTACATACCTTTATTCTAATCTTTCTCCCCTGCCTTCGTCTTTACTTTTATAAGTATCCTCGTACCGATCACCAAATCGATAGTAACATCAATTAAAATATCGATAACAAAACGGATAACAATATCGATGACAAAATCGATGAAAATATCGATAAAAATCGATAAAAAGTATCGATAAAAAATCTATAAAAATATCGATAACTAAATCGATAAAAATATCAATAAAAATATCGATTATTAAATCGAGAAGTCCCGAGAATACCGAAATTTTCGAAATAGTTCCCAGGTTGAGTCTGTGTCTCCATCTATATCCTTTTCTCTACAATTACCTTGATTTTAATCTTCCTTCCCCTATCTTCATCTTTACATTTATCGGTATCCTAACCTCATCTTTTCTTAATATTTATCTTTGTTTTTTTATGATGTTCTTCACCTATGTATAAATTCCCCTTCACCTTTGCCCTTATACATATAAGTAAAGTGTTTAAATTTACCTTGTCCTTAATTTATGCCTTTATCCTTACGCATCTTTGGTTTTGTTTTTATTTTTACCTTTGCCCTTATCCTTTTCTTTATATATGTACGCACTCACCCTTACTTTCATTCTTGTATTGGACTTTTTCTAAGTGTTATTCTTAACCTCTTATTAGTAAGTGTGTGTTAAATTAGTACCATGTGCATTGGGGTTGTCCAAAAATGCATGCAAAAAAAAAAAGTAGTCGGAATTGTAATGCTCTCACCCCTTAGGGATGTTCTATACCGAAAAAATTATATCCCTATTTTATTATTTTGAAATCAAAAAATATTTAGAGGTCGCTCTAAACGCCCAAAGTTTTCCATGCGTTTTATATGGGGAAAAACAACTTTGCGTAGAAATGGTATAGATTTTTTTAAAATCAATATTTTTCTATCGGAAAACTATGTTCATCTGCTGGAGATTCCCAATAATAATATCCAATTGTTTATTTAACCATTATTTAATCGCAACTATAATTTATTGGTCCGCCAAAAACCCCGAAAAATGCAATGGAGGGGACCAATTTGATTTGATTTCAAAATAAAAAAAATTGGGTTATACTTTTTTCGATTTAGAACAATCCTAGGGGGTGAGAGCATTACAATACCTACTTTACTGGTTTTGGACCGCCCTAATGTGCATACACCCAAGAAGCACTTTTTTCCGTCTCAGCCATTTCCGTTGCACCATTTCCGTGTGCAATTTCCGTTGAATTTGCCAATTTACTCCCAACCAACCAATCAACCAACCGCCGCTTAAGAAGTTTCGCTCCAAAAACAAAAGCAATAATTTAGAAATTATAAGAAACCTATTTGGATATTGTTCTCGACCTTACCTAAAATCTGCAATAAATTTTGCTTCGGGTGTATTTCTAGATCTGTCTTTTTGTCGCACTGTGTATTTATTCGTTATTGACTCTGATGGTGTAATCAGTCCCCTTAATTCCCACCTTATCTCAACTACTAATGGGGGTACGCAAACATATCGATGGGTTTGATAAAAGCAATTAATGTTTCCTAGTACTGCGTTTAGACCGGGGAACTTTTGTTGCGGTAGCCCATAACTTATGGAAGAGGAAGCAACGAGGAAAGCGGACACGTACCGAGTCGCTGGTACTCTGGCGACACGCTTTATGCAAGAATGATATATTTATCGTGCGGCAAAAGTTTCCGTGGGTAAATTAAATATAAGTATGTATGTACATATGTATATATATAAGGCCTATCAATCAGCGGCATTATTGTTGCTTACTATAAATACATATGATTACAAATAAGCTTTTTTGACTCATAGCCTTATCGTTTCTACAAAAAAAATGCTCTCATTGCCCCCCTTCTTGCTGTATTGGCGAAGTAGGTAATATGAAGTTAAATATGAGTTGATAACATTTTTTCGGAAGAAAAGAAAAGCCTATTGGACCCGTACATATGTACATACGTATGTACATATGCACGTATGAATATGTGTATGCGTCATCTATTTCCAGTGAAATAAAATTTTTATTTGTGTTTATTTTATATACATATATTTGACACATTTCGTTTTTATACTCAGTTAACAGTCAGCTGTGAGCCACAGAAGTTCCTCGCGCTCGATTTCTTTTTATTTTATTAATTTTTATAACACTCTATGCAAAATGAATAAAGTGCAAATTTTACTCGCATTGGCTCTTGTTGCGTGCTTTTGTGTTACATTAAGTAAGTGAAAAAAATGTGATTGTGTGTTTTATAGGATTCTTTTTCTCAAAATTGTGAAATAAGTAATTTTTAAGCAAAAAAGACAAAACCGACTTCAATTTTCATATAAAAATTTAATTTCTTCATGATCCAGTGAACGGATCTAGACCAAATTAGTATGAGACCACCTCTGAGGTACCACATTTCCTATAAAAAATTATAGAAATCGGTTAACGTAGTCCTAAGTTATGCGGTAACATACATAAAAAATATATATATAATTCGAAGAATTTATGTAGCCTCCTCGTTTTTTTCAAGTCGGTTAAAAATTGAATATGAAAAAAAACAGGAAATATATACGTACATATGTACATACATTAGACTGCGTCCCACCCCATACAAAAAAAAAACGGTACTGTTTTTCATTGGAACTATAAAATATATTACATTTTAAGGCTTGTGCGAAATATTTCGGAAAAATATTAAGATTTACGTGAGCTAGTCCGATTTAAAAAAAACTTCCAAAAAGTTTAGTTCTTTATGAATCAAAAATATATTTTAAAGTGTTTTTAGAAAAAATCACCTCAGATGACAAATCTGTTTATGCTTAATAAATCTGCATAAAAATATAAATTTTTTTTTTGAACGGTATCATTATGGGATTTTTGATGCTGTTTTTGAACTTTTTTCAAAGATTGGTTTTACAGCCTTATTCTGTATCACGAACGATAGGCAACACGAACGATTCGTCTGCAGAGGAATGCTTCAAAAATTAGTCCGGCGGCATCATTTTAACCTGTTTAAACGCTACCGAGACCATTGCAACGTAATGTATGAAAAGCAAGAGGAAGACGACCGATAGAGTTTAAAATCGCAATCAGAGAGGTTGTCGTCTGCAGACCAATCGTTCGTTTTGCCTATCGTTCGTGATACAGAATAAGGCCCTAAGGCCTAAAAATATCAATAACTCAGCGAAAACTTTACAGATTTAGGCTTTATGTATCATTAGAAAGGTACTTTCATATTTTGTATCCCAAAAATTTAATATTCTTTTATCTACTGCAAGAAACAGAAATTTTTTAAAATTTTATCGCACAACCACATTAATAAAATAATGTCACTGAAGCCAAGGTCTTCTTTGATAAAAGAAAATTTGCATAAAGAACAAAAAAATAAATTTTTTTTTTTTTAGTTGGAAGTAATCTTTTTGAAACCACTTCAAGGTTTATTTTTTTGTTTAAAGTCACAATGTAATCCTTTTTTCATTAAGGAGAATCAGCATAAAAAAAAATAAAAATAAAATATATTTTAACAAAAAATTAAAAATATATATATATGTAAAAAGATATGTTTAAAAAACAAAAAAAAAACATTAAAAATATAAACATACACACTATACACATGTACATTTGTACATGCAATAGATTCGCATTTGCTAATTTACGTCAACTACTCCATGTAAATTTTAATTTCAGTGTCCAATAAATTTGAACAGATAACACAATTTTAGTAATTTTTAATTTTATTGCAACTATGTAGATGTGGGTTAAGCACACATTAAATTGATAGATCACCCGCCATACAGTCCTGGTTTGGAACCTAATTCTTTTTTGTTTCCGTACATCAAGGATAAACTGCGCGTACGACGATATTCATTGCCAGTAGAAGCTACTGACCCCTTCACGAAATTGGTTTGAGCATTAGCAAACGTGCATAGATCTTGCTGAAGAATATCTTAAAGACCAGTAAGACCGTTTTTACCACCTGCTTGGTTTTTCCTCAGCACGTTTTAGTGGCCCCGCATTCATTGAATTTCTCAAAAAAGAGCACTTAAACATCGGCCAGGCATTCTTACTATCCTACTGGGTGGGGGAAGTATTAATCGATATTTACTCGGAAGTAAAATTCCGGGGGTCACTTATTTTTTAAGACGGCAGTTGAGGCCTTGTTACGCAAGCTGGCGGAGCTGAAGCTACTTCAGGAAACTTGGAATTAGTTTGGGTTCCTCGTGTCTTAACAGTGACGTGTGAGCCATTACATCTGGTAGATGAATTTAGAGCTAGTATGACCAGCAACAACAAACATTTGTTTACATATATTTCTATGCCGACAGAAACTTTAAAATTGAACAGGGTATGACAGAGTGTTGTAATAAGCTTTGTAAGTACAATAGACGCTCGGTCGCAGTAAACATTCCCTACTGTTCATATGTACATATGTACGTACTCAATAACCTGGATTTCTAAAGTAAAAAAGAGATCAACTTAAGGTGTAGTTAGGTAGCACTAGACCAAATACCAGATGTGATTGCGACCCTAAAAATCCTTCCCAGCAAACTGAGGCAATGTTGAAGAACGTTGGTTTTTTGTTTTTGTGTAAAGCTGTACTTTTGTCTACTTTTTAGTGGTTGCTTATCGCACGCTCTACTTAAGCCTTTAAAATTCTTTTTAAAAAGGTCCTTAATATTTCTTTCTTTACTTCCAGCCACATCTTTAAGCTGCTACATTTGTGATAGTTCATCGGGTCAAAACTGCAATCACACCACAACCACCGCAACTTGCAACTCCTCACTGGCCCAGCAAACAGTGAAGTATGGTGTCCAATACTTAAATGCGAATTTAACACAGCTGAATGCAACCAGTTCAACTTACAATTGCGTCTATGATTTAATTTCAGCAGGTGTGTATAAATACATATACTATGGTATATACATATGTACATACTTTAGAAAACTATTTCGAAAATCTTCAATTGACCGTTTATTATATCGCTTTTTCAGGCACCACCAATCACACCTATCTCGGTTGCGTTTACAGTACGGTGAACATTTGCAACTTTACACCAAGGTCGTATACAGCTCGCCACTGCTTAGTGTGCAGCGGTAACAATTGCAATCGCAATCCAGCGGATCGCGCCACTGGCAGCATCTTCACATTGACTGCGGCCATTGTTTTGGCATTTGTGGCAAAAATTATGTACAACTGAGTGGTCTCCAAATATTTTTTTTATTTTTTTTTTTTGTAAAATAAATAATTGTTGTTATTAGTATTTATTAGTACATTAAAATTTGCTCAAATCTAAAATATTAAACAAAGTGTCTTAAAATAAATTCTCGTTTTTCAACTAAAACTTCTTTAGCTGAACGGAGTACATGTGTAGATACTTCTCCTTCTGAAGGGTGATTCAGTAAGACAGCAAATTTTATTTTATAAGGAAAACACGACAAACTTTAGCGAAATAATTTGTTTTTATTGGATAATAGCCAATAAAAACTTGCAGCTTACGCCATAGTGGCACTTTGAAATAGGTAAATCTTGCCTGCGAATAATTTCCATCGTCATAAAATGCAAAAAATCTACTTTGGAAGTATATTATTTATCGATACATTTATTTTATTAAATTCATTTTGTGCAATTATACACCAAACCTTAAAATAGAATTAAAAACAAGTAAGAAAGTCTAAGTTCGGGCGGAGCCGAACATTAAATACCCGGCGCAAGTATTAAATATATGATTTTTCACCTTTCCGAAACCTACCGCTAGATGGTAAGCCGGGGTGTATCAATTTTGAGTAAATTAGCGTCCTTAAATTTCGAAATATTGAAGTTTCAAGCATATCTGAAATTTACCGTTATATGAAAAGCGGCCGTAATTTTAGTCCGATTTCAATAATTTTCAACGTTTTACTTTTGTGTGGCAAGCACAATAAAAATACCGAGTTTGGTACAAATTAGTAGAACGGTTACCGATATACATATATGTGATCATAAGTGGGCGGTGCCACGCCCATTTTCCAAAATTTTACCATTAACGTATTTCTTGGTAAAGAAATATTGCAAGCATCAATTTTGAATAAATTAGCTTCAATATTTACTGATTTATCGAAGATTTTGTATTTCTCTAAATTACCGTTATATGGGATGTGGGCGTGGTTATCGTCCGATTTTAAAAAGTTTCGGCCATTTAGTATGCTGTATCAAGGCCACCAACTGTGCCAAGTTTGGAAGAAATTAGTGCAGCGGTTACCGAGATATACACATGTAACCATAAGTGGGCGTGGCTACGCCCATTTTCCAAAAATGTATAACACTCTTAGTTTTCGTCTAAAAATTGTTGCAAATATTAATTTTGAGTGAATAATCTTCAGTAGTTACTAAAATATCGCAGTATTCGTATTTCCGATAATTACCGTTATATGGGAAGTGGGCGTGGTTATTGTCCGATTTTTTAAATTTTCGGCCATTTAGTATGCTGTATCAAGCCCACCAACTGTGCCAAGTTTGGAAGAAATTGGTGCAGCGGTTACCAAGATATACACATGTAACCATAAGTGGGCGTGGCTACGCCCATTTTCCAAAAATTTATAATATTCTTATTTTTCGTCTAAAAGTTATTGTAAATAGCAATTTTTAGTGAATTATCTTCAGTTGTTACTAAAATATCGCAGTTTTCGTATTTCTGGAAATTACCGTTATATGGGAAGTGGGCGTGGTTACAGTCCGATTTCGCCCATTTTCAATACCAACCTACCTTGGATTAAGGGAAACGTACATACCAAATTTCGTTGAGATATCTCAATTTTTGCTCGAGTTATCGTGTACACGGACGGACGGACAGACGGACAGACGGACGGACAGACAGACATGGCTTAATCGATTTCTTTTTTCATCCTGATCATTTATGTATACATTTGTCTATATCTATCTCGATTCGTTTTGGCTGTTACAAACAACCGTTATGTGAACAAAATTAATATACCCTTGTGCACAAGTGCGCTCGGGTATAAAAAAAAACATAGAAAAACAACTTCGTGCCACGGAGTTGAACCAAAAGTGGGCAGTCTAACCCACATGCACTTGGCTGCAGAAATTGTTGAGAAAACTTGGAAAATTACATACATATCGGTGTTCGTATGGTATAGTAGCTTATGTCGGGAAGTTGGCTTTAGTATAATGCGGCATTCCTTTTATTCTTTAAACGACCAGGAATTTTTTGAATAAGAATAAGAATATTGACCTGCTAGTATCGGAACTATTTCTTGCACGTTTATTTGCCAAAAGTTCTTCAATGGCTCGGCGCCAGTGACTCATTCGCAATAGTATGCTGCGAATGCCGCATTATACTAAAGCCAGCCTTTCGAAATAAGCTACTATTCCATACGAACACAGATAAATATGTACTCAGTGCACAGACTTCGAGAAAATTAATGTTGGTAGATTTAACATACAAAAATCGGTAGAAGTTGGTAGATTTTTTAAAAGAAACAATATCAGATAATTTTTATTCAAATAGGATAAAACATGGCAAATTTATAAAAGATGGTGTTACCAGAGCAGCTTAATGTCAAAATTATGTTATGTTAAGTTCTAAACAGAAGTACCAGAGAGGAAGGAGTGGAAAAACATTTTATTTTGCTTGCGGCAGTGCTTACCTGCATTCAATTTCAACGCTTTCCGCTGTGAATTATTCGATAACCCCCTTTTATGCTCAACAATAATTCATAGGCACAAATCAAATGCTCTAACTTGTAATTGTTGTAATTTATAATATTTTAATTAGCATATACCGGCAAGGAAAGTCTGAAATGCGCGATGCACACGCTCCTCACACACGAATGGCATTTTAATCGCTGAGCAATTGGCCTAAACCAGTTCGCGACCACTGTGGATTCGTGTGTGTTTGTATGTTAAAAATAATAATGTTTTCGCTTTACAAGATCACCTCACTAACACCTCGAATAATTATAGCGCTGCTTGCAATAGATTTAACTGCGGTGGGCAATAATTATAGGCTAACACCTTGTCATGATTCATATTTCTCTTAAAAAAATGTATGCCCACAAATTGATTCTAATTCGAAGTGACTGTGCGAGTAGTTGTTTAGGCATGTATGTACGCATTCAAAGCAACACAACAAAAGATTTAGGCAAATTTGAGTGACTGAATTCAGAACGAAACCTAAAATAATTTGGGCCTATTTTAAAAGAAAAATCTTACTCAGGTATGCCTCTTCTTCAAGCTGTAACGTCTTTTATACTAAAAAATTTCTCAGCTCAAAAATCCGTGGAATTATTTATAGGTTTATGTACAAAGGCGCGGACATTTAATAATATTACACCATGCGACAGTAAATTTTACACATAAAAAAATGAATATATTCCCGAAAATATGGGTCAATTATAGTAAAACTGCGTACTTAGTTTTTCTCTCGGATGTCAGGATTTTTTTAAAAGGATTTTGCAATTAAAAAAAATACGATTATTTCAAAAAAGTATTAAAAAAAAATTAAGTGCAATGTTGGATAACAATAATGGTATCATATAAAATAAAAAATTCTGTAGAATTATAGCAGAATAAATTTTTTGGTGCAAAAGGAGGAATGGGTATGGAAAATGTCCGTTACAAATTTTGTCCTTAAATATCCTTGAAAATTTGCAATATTTATTTTTGAAAAAATTATTGCTTGAGGAATAATATTCACACAATCCTAATCATCGAATTTCGTCCTGCAAACTTTTTAACTTAAAATAATAAAATTGATTAAAGGTGCATTTCACTACCGCCCTTGTAAACCTAAAAACTTTATTGTTTTTAATTATACAGAATTTTCTCTCTCATTTGGCAGTCATATTTTTATTCTACATTGCACTGATTTTTTTAAATAATTTTTTTTGAATTAATCACATCATTAAAATTTTAAAGGCCTTTGAAAAAATTCCTGACGTCAGAGTGAAAAACTAAAAACGTAGTTTTACTATTTTCGGCCCATAGTTTCGTAACTTTGACAATTGTTTCGTGTGATTTGAAATTTTTTTGTTTTTGTCGCACGGTGTTATTTTATCAATAAATGAGGCGCGATAGCTTTAATTACTGGACTTAAGCTTATTCCCACTATTTGATGATAGTAACAGCCAGTGTTGCCAGATTAAAAATAAACTGTAAATTTCCCGAAAAAACGGGGTTTCCATTATTTTAAAATAAATAAATAACATAAACCATTTAAATTATTCTTAAATAAACAAAAATTGACCTTATAAAAGGTAACATGTAAATCACATCTTGTTTTAATGATTTCAGTTTCATTATTTTTCGTAAAATTCTTTGTTAATTTTTTTAAGCATTGGGTTCTTTTGAACTAACCTAGCCATACGTTTTGGAGAAAACTCGAAAAAATTCTCTTAAAGTTGAAAATAATCTGGACTAAAAATCTTGTCTCTTAATGTCCCATATTTCTATTTTAGTTAGTAAAATACCAGCTCTTGCTTGGGGTTTTTCGTGGTGCTTCCCCTAGTACTGATAAAAATGAGTGGACTTTTATTAATGCGAAATTTTATTGCGCCATAAAGATAACTAATTAATGAAGTTGATGTGCTCCATTAAAATGGTAGTATGTTAACTTAAGTAGCTCCACATATATCGCATGTATTGTGCTTAAATGATAAGAACTTATATGAAACAATTTTTTTTCTATACTAGCCTATACCTGCGGGTTTCACCCAACGTGCAAAATAGTTTTAAAATGTTATATTTCTGCTCTCTTCTCACTATAGCCATATGATTTTTGTATTTGCATTTGTATGCATCCCTATGCCTTTTTTAGATAGGCCGAAAACACACTCCTCGCCACCTCACCACCATTTACTAAATTCAACTTGACTAGACCCACCACCTTGGCAAGGACATAAATTGAGTTGAGTTCAGAAAAGGCGTAGTATCAAGTGCCGCAGACTTCATGGTTAAACCTATTACATACGCGGCACTGGCCCGGTGACCAAACCAAAGCAAGTAAATGCGAATGTCACCTTGAGAAAGCTACAGCGCTTAGTGTGCAAAGCCATCACAAGAGCTATGCGCACCTGTCCAACGGATGCCCTTCGTGTGATTAAAGGCATTCCACCTCCGTCAATTCAGATCAAAAGTGAGGCCTGCTGGAGCGGATTCCCAATGTAAGCAGCATGAAAAGTGGTAGTCTTGGGGTCAGTTGAAGGTTCTGAAGCCATTTCTGGATAAACCCGTCATGAAGCTCACAGATATCTTGCTACCGAAAATATCCTTTATTCTATTCCTGAAAGGGACTGCTGTTAAGTGTTAATATCTATGACAGAAAAAGGGTCTCAAGTATGGTATACTGACGGATGGAAGATTAACGACGGGATTACTGGGGCAGACGTACTTTGATCCAGATTCCAGACCCAACTATATTCCAGGCGGAAGTCTTCGCAGTCGAAATCTGTGTTCGAGAATGTCTTCGTTGAAGGGAAGACAGGGCCAGAATAAATAGTTTATCAGATAGTCAGGCGGAATTAAAGGCCTTAGACTCATTTATAAAGACATAAAGGCAGTTGCAAAACTCTTTAGAACCGCCTAGGAGGCCACCATATTGAGACGCTGGGATGGGCCCCTGGACATGAAGAATTTGAAGGCAATGAAAGGGCTGACTCTATCGAAAAACGTGGAGTCAAGATACGCATGCATGGTCCCGAGCCTTTCTGCGGCACATCTATACTGCAGAAATGCTTAGGAGTTAGGAAGAATCTTAGATTGCTGCCCACTGGCGGGAGTATTTTTACATATTTTTAATATGTGGCTATTTAATCTATGACTAATTCTAGAGCATTCGTTTTCAAAATGGTTTGGGAACGCCCGACTTTTAGCTATTAGCATCTAATCTATTGCCGCCGCTATTTGCTTAGATAACGCATGGTATTATCTTTATCTTGGCGTCAAAGGGGTTAGCGAGCTACTTGAAATTCGCGATATTTCATAGTAAATTGGTTAGTGCATCTGTGATCAACTACGTTACGAAAATGAGCGCCGCTAAAATTATAATCACACTAGCAATCATTGGCGTTTGTTGCATTTCGTTTGGTAAGGTTTTTACCATTATTTTTGACCCAATAATTTAAGTGTCTCTTCTTTTTTTTTTGATGATTTTTTTCAATTAAATATACCGATTTGCATTTCTCCATTGTTGTAGCAACTTCTATAAAATGCTTTACTTGCACAACTTCCAAGGATTGTAAGAAGCCCAGCAAACTGGAATGCAACCAAACATTGGCCAACCAGACCAGAGATTATCTAAAGTTATACTATACGGGCGTGCCAAATGTTACCAGCAATAGCTTCGAGTGTATGCGCGATTGGCTGAAGACGCGTAAGTTTGCATTTGTTGCTTTGAATGACTTTTTTACTATTAATTTTAAACTGTTCTTTATCACTCATTTAGCAACCAACGAAATGATGCATAAGGGTTGCATTTTTAGTAATTTCCAGAGTTGTGGTTACACTGTAAATTCATACTTCGCTGCAGCCCACGATCGCTCGTGCAAACAGTGCAACACTGAGGGCTGTAATCCCGCTGATCGTGCCATCGGCAGCCTGAAGGTAGTTGTGTATGCTATTATTGTGACGGCATTGGCCAAATGTGGTGCTTGGCGTAATTAAAACTGATTAAATACAATATGTGCCAGCGTTTTTTTTCTAATAATAGTTGAGTGGCTTTAATGGTATTACACGAATTCAAAGCAATTAATTGTTTAAGCAGTAATCTTATCAGTGCAATTGACTATCTGTTTTGGTCTAAAGTACCTATGAAGTGATATTAAATAATAAAAATACGAAAACTCCTTAAGCAACCAACAGATTGCCTACTCGTATTTGTGATACTCACTTCAGCTATATTTCTCTTCTTGCCGCATGAAAGGAAATCCTGACTAGTTACCCCGCAACTCAATGAGAAAAACAGAACTATGCACAACATCAACTTCAACACTTTCAACAAAGAATTAACCAACAAATTTATGTTGCAACATTATTCACAGGCACAAATCAAATGTTCTAGCTTGTAATTGGTGTAATTTATTATACTTTAATTAGCATATGTGGCGGCGGCAAGTCAGCTATGAAACTCATCAAAATTGTGGCATTCTAATCGCAGAGCGCTTGGTCTAAAACCAGTTCATGATCACTGTGAGCCAGTGTGTTCATAATTCTTTAGATCGAAATGTTTTTGTTGCGCAGGATCACCTCACCAACACCTCAGTTAATTATACCTATGTGCGCACAAGGTCTGTAATAATTGCCCAACTCTTTTGAATCTAATTGGATTAGATGGGTTGTTTACTATGTTGTGATTCAATGCGGCTATTAACTAAAGTATGGCTCCACACAGTCATAGAAGTTAGTGCTGAAAATTATGTAGCTTCTTACTAAATGAAATAAAATTGTTTCATGCCTTTGCCTTTTTCCTTCTTTTTATTAGGTTAGGTTAGGATATTCTGGAGCCGGATTCCAACATTTGCTATCGCTAATTTTGATCGCCAAAAATCTCCAAAAGAATAGCAGGCGCCCCTATCAACACGCAACATCTAGTTACATTCCCGCCACACTGCCAGATGTGGCTAATTACACTTTGCAAGTGTTACCATTCCACGGTGTATACTTTTAGGCCCCACTGCTTTTCATGTTGTAGAGCATTTTAGCCACAAAACTTTGGCGTAGCTATTGTCAGAATTCTACTGCTGGACGGCATAGACCGGCTGATCCCCAGCATGCAGAAAAAGCTGAGAATGAAATGCTGATATGATTCCGACTCATCATCGTCCAACTAGCTGTGTCAACACAGGGTCCACGAGGATACTGAGTCGTATCGCAAAGGCTCCTACTTGACAATGCCCACTCAGAACACTTGTAAGAACCCATAATTGATGCTTAGACTATCGGCAAGATAAATTTGATAAGTGCGCATGTCAAAGTTTTCGGCAATCTCGGGCCCTTATACGTGGACATTGTTCTCGTCAAGAAAGATTACCCGATGGCCTCGAGGATACCCTGCCTAGCCAATTCGACAGCCATGCCGTTGCCTGAAATGTCACTATGTCCTGGGACCCAAATAAGTTTGATTTGGAAGTAATCCGATGCGATCTAGAGAGAAGTCAGACATTCCGCGAACAGTTCCAATCGTACCATAAGTGAACTAAGAACCCTTTTTGCCGGAGTCGATGTTTCACCTTATCATTGATAGTACTCTGGTGTGTAGCCCCCGCTGCAGAAATTCGTCAGCGTAAACATTAGCTTTACGGTGAGTTATTGTCCCTGAAAGAACCTACCTCTTTCAACTCTGCCGTCTAACTTCGGTCTGCCACTCTTCCATGTACCCCTTAGAGAAATTTATGCAGAGGTTGATGAGTTCGAAGCCAATCTAGGTTTTCATCGATTCAGATAAGAAGCCGAAGTTTTCAAAGATCTCAAAGTGTTCATACGCCAGGTTGAAGGAAAAACTCGAGGTTTTTAGCCTAATGGTGGAGCGCAATGCAAAATTTTGGTAGTGATTTCAACTCTACATTTGATTGAGATTACTTCTAACTTATTGTTTTTTAATAATACAGGACTTCAGCTCCAAAATTTCCCTTGTTCCTGTCTTCAACAGTTTCTGCACGCGTCCGCCTCTGTAGTCAAACTAATAGTGCTCTGATGTGAGCATTTTACATACTTTTGACCAGCCTACCAACCGCTGCGGTAACTGCTTTAATTGCTGCTATAATAGCAAAGACTTCTACCGAAGGCTACTCCAATAAACAGACAATTTTATTAGCCACCTGATTGACTGGCTCTCATTCCCTTTTAACTCTATGTGAGCTATTTGTTTTTCATTCAGCTATTCTCGAAGGTTCGGCACTTGAGCTCTCATATGGCCCTCAATCTTCTTGCAGCTTTAGCAGCAACGGTCTCCGCAAATAGGTCGTTGGGCGGCAGACTGAGCGTTTCCACGATGCACAGTGCCGGGTGGGGTATGAAGACCATTATTGGGCCCAACAGCCGACGCCAGTGTGTCTCTGGTGTGAATGTCGAAATTTTTTTTTCAAGAGGAATGAGGTCAAACCGACAAGTTTGCAGACTGCCGGGTAAATAGGTCTCTCCTGGGCCGTTTCTTAGCTTTTCGCATATTTCTTTTGTAAGCTTTTAGTAAAACTTTGTGCTTCCTCCAACAGAATTCATTGTCGGTTACATTGGCCAATTTGAAATATTTTGGCACTCTGCGTTTTTGTGATCATCCATCAGGAATAACTTAATCTGCGTTTGGTTAGCGAAAATGGTTCGGTTGAAATTGCAGACAGCTTTAAATAAAAAAAAATATTAAAAAGAATCTGAGAAACTTACTTCCTATGAATTTTTTGAAAAAGAAACACTCGATTGATGGGAATCCAGTTTAGCACGCGATACTCAATAGCACCTTGTGAATACACTCATATGGAAAAAATACTCAACTCAACTCACGCTTGAATGAAACAAAAGCGTATGCCAAAGGTAGTTAATGCATTTAACAACGTAATCAGCGTCCGAATCGAAGTAGTAGTCAAACAATGGAGAGCGAGAACTCCACAATGCTGACGAGAATAATAAAAAAAAATCGCCTCGAAACTGTTCCCACTGAAGAGGTATATGAAAATAGGGGAAGCGCGGCAGCCAGTGGTGCTAAAGTAAGAGATGACGACAAAATAAAAGAGTGTAAAAGCGAAAAGAGAGAGAAGAGAGATCATTCGACCGCTCGATAATTTACACTTCCAACCAGCTGCAAACCCTCAAAGTGAAGGATCGTTTCACGAGCGCTGAGCACTGCTTTGGATGCTGTTGCAGCTCTCACCACCAGCAATACAGGTAAGCATAACCACAACCAATGAGTAGCTTACTCTTTGTTCGCAGATTCCTGCGGTGCCGTGTGATGCAGGTAAGAATCAAAGAATTCCTGTGCATTAACTTGGCACAGCGACGACTAAGGTGTACGAGGCAAATGGTACAAATAGCGCAGCAACGGCAGGAAGGGCATCATTCAGCCACCAAGCGCTGCGGAGTAAGGACAACAGTCTGAAATCAAAGTACAAAGATTAACAAAAATCGCAAAGACGCATACAAGGCAAGCAAACATGGCACTCGGCAGCATCACCAGCAACAGCCATCATCATCATCCCTACCAAAGACAACAGATGCAGCATCGAACGCTCAGCACTTACCAGCAGCCGCGTGCCATCGCACCTGCGCCAATCGGTTTACAGCCAGCGGTGAGCAAAACGCCAAGCGGCGAGAAGTTTTACGGCGGCACCACACTCGACTCCAACAATCCGGCCGTGGTGCGACGCAACGCACGTGAACGTAACCGCGTCAAACAAGTAAACAACGGCTTCACGCATTTGCGGCAACACTTACCGCCCGCAATTGTTGCCGACTTGAGCAACGGCCGCCGTGGCATTGGTCCGGGCGCACACAAGAAACTCTCCAAAGTGGACACGCTGCGCATGGCTCTGGAATATATACGCCGATTGAAGCGCGTTATTGACGAAGTTGATGGGAAGCGTGCCATTGCGCAAGCGCCAGTCGAACTCAGCAGCTGGCCGAATATGGCAACCAGCGCGACCAATTCGCCACCACCAACGCCACCGAAGAAAGGCATGCATGCCATGGTATACGCTGATAAAGTGCAACAACACTTCCAAATCCACAGCTATGAAGACACTTTGCAGCAACAACAGCAACAACAACAATTCATAAGCCTCAAATATCAACAGCCACAGCTGCAACTGCAACAGCAATATTTCAATCAGTATACAGCACTGATATCACCAGCCGGGTCGGTTAGCTCCAGCGCCAGCACCAGTGACTGCAATAACTCCGACGCTTCTACGCTTTACAGCCAGCACCACCAGCACGACTCATCGCAAACAGCTTTGGCGGCGATGCAACAATTTTCCTTGCCTATGCAAATGAAATATGAGCAGCAATACAATGAAGAGGCAATGGGCTGCAGCTCAGGCGATGAAGAGGATCTGCTTGACTACATCTCGCTTTGGCAGGACGAGGTCTGAAAGTCTGAAGCAAACAAGTAAAATAGTAGGCTTCGATTGCTAACGAAAAGCTAGTCAGCTGCCACAGAGACACACTGAACGACGTAATTAACCAATGACTGTAACGAGTATTACCTCACGCGGAACTTGTTAGTATTATTTTTTTTTGTATATGTAAATTATTTATTATGATGCGCCAATGTACAAATTTGTGTTTAGATATCTATTGTGCCTGTTTTTAGTTTTTAAATTTTTGTTAAGCATAGTTTAATATTTAGTTTAGTGAATGGAAGACAATGATTTGAAGTAATTAGCTGTAAGTTGCAAACCCATGGAAGACATTAAATATAGTTGAGAAAAATTTAATTAAACACAAACGAGATATTTTCATTTTCATTGGTCGGTTGGCTTAAGTGGATTATCAGCCTGGTGACAAGCAATTAGCGAGTTGTGCCAGTTTGCTGAGAGTCTTTAGCCTCATCCTTGAGGGGGTTGGATACTCGCACAGAAAGTGTTTGCCTGTCTCCTTTGAGCCCGGGTCCTCGCAGCTGGGACACAACATATTGAAGGGTAAGCCAATCCTTTTGACTTATAGACCAACGGCTA